GAACACACATTACACAGGATGTTTTCAGCGGTACCATATTTAAAGTTACTCCCTGCCATATATACAGTATTGTGTAGGACAGGAAGTCCAGTGCCACCGTAGGAACCATTTACTTGTGTGTTCGAATTCTTGGCTTTTCTAAGGGTGGCCAATTGAAAGCCAATGCAGAGCAAATAAGTTTGATAGGGAAAAAGGGCATACATGGGAATAAGCAGTAGGGTGATGGACCACTGGGTCCAGACCACAGACCAGCTGGGGGCACACAGGAAAGGGAGAGAAAGAGGTGAGAACCGACGGAAAGTTTTACTACATCAGAGGCAATAACCATCTGTGACTGAACAGAAAAGAGAGAGGGTACAAGAGTGAAATGGATTGGAGCCCACCCAGGGTATTAACTGTCTATGTGCTGCAGGTGAGGCTACAGTTAGAGAGGACATGACAGATATTGACAGATCCAGATAGATCATGGCAGAGTACCTGGTATACAGCAGGAATCCTCAAAATGAAGAGCTATTATTGTTATTAGTTACAAACTAGGCATTGCAAAGGGCAACACGATCCTCGTAATTTTTGACACCACTTACTCTGCTGAGAAGACAATGACAGTAACAATACTGAGGAAGTTATGAATGTCCTTTATCTCATCAGTCTTAACCCACGCTTGCAGAACTCTCTAGTTTATGAAGTGCAACAGAAGCAACTCCCAGTGATAAACACAACCTGGACACAGAGATGTACACCTCAGGAGATAAAGCATCTTCCACATTTGGTTATTTATCTTGGTCTCTTGCTGATTAAAAGGTCTCATGTATGCTGTCAGCTCTACTTATGGACAGTCATGCCGAATGGGTCTATTTCAGGCAAGCCATTGTAGAAACAACTGCACCTAAGAGAAAATAACAGGTACAAAAGGTTCCAGAGATAATTTATAGCCCACTCGCAATAACAGGCAATGCTAAATGTTAGCAGGTGAATTTGACACCTCCATAAATAAAGACCAGAGTCTTCTATGTTTACTACATCAAATCTCAATTGTCTTATAGGTCAGACGTGTTTAACACCTTTGGAAATTCCTTCGAGTCAATGATGGGTACCTCTTAACCAGGTTACAATGGCTTCAGTGTCAGGGACAGCCCTGATCAACAGAGTGTGAAGCCAAGAAGGAGCCAGGTCACCCCCTCCTCTTTCAGGTGGCCTTGGCCTGGACAGAACGATGAGCTCCCGGGAGCAGAGCCCGGGGAAGTGGGAGGAGAGCCAGGGCAATGCCCGGGACACTGGGAACCCAGCGCTGCAGGAGAGTGGCGTCTCCTCCAGACAGCAGCCGCACAGCAAACGACAAGTGCCATCAGGAAGCGCATTTATCTCCAGGGGAAAGCCGGACATTCCAAAGCGACCGTCTGAGATGTTGTCACACCAGCAGGGACAAGCAGTCGAAAGGCCAGAGGCTATCAGTGCAGGAGGCACAGGGATACAGACTGTAATTCGGAGGCCCTGGGAATGGGCACACCCGCTCCTAGACCCCTGATGCCTGCCCTGCTTTCCTCCGGGCTCCGTGCGCCTGCCGTCAATCATCAAAGTCCCTACTGGCCACTGTAGCCCGTCTCCAGTGTAAGCCACTGAGCTGCCTTTTATCCTGACACTTTACGCACTAAGTTTCTCTCAAAGGCTAAGTGATCATGAAAAAAATATTTGACAACTTTTTCCATTTGTTTATTCATTTGACGAATATTATCCAACAGTCCAAGCACCAAGGTAGAGGTGGAGTGGTCACTGAGGCAGATACAGCACCGATTCACCAACTGCGACTCTCACAGGACAAGCAGCCCAGCAGCAGCATGGGAGAGGCGAGAGGGCAGCTCAGGAGCAGGGAGGACGGCAGTGGGCCGAAGCAGTCCCACAGGAACACAGGGAAACAGGAGCAAGGGGTGTGCCCAGCTCCGGGAAGACGCCAAGTGTGCTACAGGTGGAGGGAGTGTATGGCAGAAGCAGCGAGGGGACAGAGGTGGGGAATGTGAACAGAGTTAGGGGTGAAGAAGACAGGAACCTTAATCAGATGATTCTGAAGAAGAGAGAAGTGATCATGTTTATGCTCACTTCAGATCCATTTATTTAAAGGTGGTTTTTCTTTTTCTTTCGAGACAGAGCCTTGCTGTGTAGCCCAGGCTGGCCTCGAACTTGTAGCAAGCCTCCCAAGTGCTGGCATTATAGGTGTGTGTCACCATGTTCAGCTTAAAGATGGTTTTTCATAGAAATGTAAATATGGGAAATCATGGGAAAGCAGATAAATGTAAATGTGGGAAATCAGATAAATGAAAATGTCCTATAAAAATTATATAACGACTTTAGGAATCTGAGTAATCGTTAAAATTAAAACTCTACTGTGCATACCAATGAACTACTTGAAAATTACAGACATGACACTAATCTTCAAGGCATGCCTTACATCATTCCCATATGCAAGACATAAAACTTCATTTTACATTACTAAGACCATAAATTCAGCAATCAAAAATAAGAAGAAATTCTTTTTATCTTCACTATCAAGTGTCCATTTCTATAATACTATGATCATTAATTATGCCCAGTGTGGGAGTTAGAGAGACCAACTTTAACCCCAACAGGGCTCCTTGCTAATTGGTGAGTTTAAGCAAGCTCTTAACCCTCTGAGGCTGTCTGCACTAATAAGATCTACCTCAAGATGGGTGTGTGTAACCAGGGAGACAGCAGTTGAGCTGGGGCTACATTTCCCACTTTCTGGAAGCGTGCATCAGACCCAGAGAGGTTACGCGACTTTCCCCAGGCCATAGAGCTAGCAGAGCAGCCTGCACCTTCATACCACGACTTCTGCTTCACTCTGCATTTGCTGCTCTTTCCTCTCATTTTCTGGCAGTCATTTTCTGCAGTAAATGTAATTAAATTCCTACTAAGATGAAATTTTTCAATGTGGAAAAAAGAGTTCTTGAATAAAGGGGAAAAAAGCAAAGTGAAAAATAATAATAATGAACAAAACCAGCACTATATAAACATGTTAAAATGGTGAATTATATGGTATGTGAATATCTCAATAAAGCTTTTAAAATAAAAAAATAAAAATAGCAGTGGGTGAGAAGTGAGTACAGTGGTACTCAAAAGTGATAAGATCTGAGGATGTGAAGTTTCATTGCTTTATCCTCTTCTCTGTAAAATAAGACTGCTGTTACCTGCATTGTCTTTGTCAAGAAACAAAGATAAAACTGATTTCCAAATAGTAAAGTCCATCACGATGCACATGATGACACTCACCCAAGCTGGGAAAAGAGGTGCTTTACCCCCTCATTTCTAATGCCCCACAAAACCCCTAAAATGCACAAGAAGCTCACCCCCACTAGCAAGCACCAGCTCAGACTGCCCCTCTCAAAGTACACATTTAGCAGCAGGAAGTATTCCAGAGTCTGCAGCTGAGGGTGACTTGGTTCCCCGCAGGATCCATTCTCCAGACCCAGGGCTTCCTGTCCCATACACAACTCTCTGAGTGCTCTGCTTCACTGGGCACATGAGCCAAAGGGCCAAACACAGGTGGCCAGAGTGGCCACGGGTGTAACAGAACTGCAAGTCTTCTCATGTTAAACTGACCTCAAAGCAGACCACTTCTACATTTTCTTCCCACTTACATAGGAAGTAGAAAGTGAATTATTATTCATGTTCTCTTTCGATGGGGCCACCATTTCCAAATTCCAGATTTGCTGGTTTCACACAAACAAAACATCAATACTAAGGGTTTTATGCAACCAAGGACAAACATGATTTTTTTCTGCTGTTTTAAAAAACTGAGGTAATTTTTGCCCCAATTCTTACAGAGTGGCAAGCTTAAAATCAAGCCGTTTAGCTCAGAGTCAGGTCCAGTCAGTCAGTGGAAAAAATAATGGGAAAACATGCCAACACATAACCATGGTAACACCACAGATGCATCAGGAGATGGTGTGCTCATCTGCTTCACCCCCATCTCTCAAACTGAAATGTAAGTGGGGGAAAAGTACACAAGGAACAGTCATGAGTTTGCATACTGGGTACGGCATTCAGCCAGCTATACTGTACCTTCAGCAGCAGTGACGGACCAGGCTCTCGATGGCCAAGAAGACCTTGATCTCTACTTACTGGTTACTCTGGTTTTGCATCTGTATGATGGGTGTTAAAGAGCATCACCTTCAAATATTAAATTCCAAGTAATAAACCCAAGATCAAAGCCAGGCATGGCGGCACACACCTGTAATCTCAGCATTCAAGAGGCTGAGGCAGGAACACTGCTGTGAGTTCAAGCCCAACCTAAACTACATAGTGAGACCCTGTCTCAAACACAACCAACCAACCAACCAACCATAAACCAGGATCACTCTTTCCTCATCAAACAACCCCATGTACTTCTAAGATTTATATCCTATGACTCGCCTGCAGGGAACATGGTGTGGTAGAACACAGTGATAATTCACTAAATCAAGCATCTTGCTTTCTCATATTTGGTCTTACCCATCAAGTGCTCTGATCTGTGGAAACCGTGTCTTCAAATAATCCTGATTTATGAGTTCATAAACTGGGCAGAAGGCAGGAGGAACGTGAGATGCCACTGAAGCATCTACTTTACAGACGGCCAGGAAGGACCCACTCTCTCCACACAGGTCAGTCGGGGTCTCTGGCCTGGCCCGGGCCCTGAATAGTAGTGATGGGACACTGATGGGGGCCCACGCCAGCGAGGCCAAGCCTTCACAAATGCTCATGCTCCTCACCCGTGCTCTGCCCGTCAGAGTTCAAGAGGCCAGGACCACCACACACCGTTCCCGCTCACTTGAAAAGTTACCTGCCCACTGCCAATTCAGAAGTGGCAGAGCCACACTGCAATGTGCAGGACTTCTGGCATCATTAAGCAGACAAGCTCAGTACTCCAGAGACAGACGCAGAGCTCTTCCTTCACCCCAGCACTTTTCACACACTCACAAAGCAGCAGCACACCAAGCCTGGCTACTCACAAGGCACAGCATGGCGGTAAAGGTTGTCCCTTATGGTCTGCTGGAGCTCATGATCAGGAGACCCTTTCTGGAACCGTTGACTGAGAAAATGTCGCAGGTCCTTGTTGAGCCTTCCTCCTGTGGAAAATACGTAACACAGACAGAAGACATCAACAACAGGGGTTCCTGGGAAGGGCGTGCTACAAAGCCACCCACAGAAGCTCCAGTCCAACCCCATGGTCCTCAGCAGGATGTACTTGGGATTCCCCCTGCAGGAAAAGCAAGCAAAGGGCATCATAAAGCAAGGTCCCATGTCACAAGAACTACGACACTAGAAGGCTTTCAACTAGGCTACTGCATTTGAAATAGGTGACCCTGACAGATACTACCAGTGGGAGAGTCAATGGTCGAACCCTCAAGAAAGACAAGTCAGCAGCAACTGTCAAATATGTACACTATTCTTTCACCAGGGATTCAATTGGTAGGAATTTTCCCTGAGAATATACTTGCAAAAGTACACTCAAATCTCCAGTACTGTTGACTACAGCATTTTTGCGACTGCAAATAAATAAAAATAAAGGCAAAAGACCAGGAAACAGGGCCAGGGATATAGCTCAGTGGAATAAGCACCTACCTGGCAAGCGCAAGGTCCTGAGTTCGATTGCCGGTACAAAAAAAAAAGACCAGGAAACAAAGATCTATTCAGTAAAGCAGATCTTATCCATATTGTAACTATTCTGCATAAAATATATCTTTATGGGCTGATATGGAAGGAAATATGTAAAATAGTATATAATTTTTGCTTTTGGTAAAAGTGAATTTTTTTATTTTAAAAATTTTAAAAACTAATGAAACAACAATGAAGATAAAGTCAAAACAACATAAAAACAACAAAAATGATACATGACCTCAAAACAAAATGATAGGAGTTAACAATGGTTGCAATAAACTAACATTACATACTGTTATCTTCAACGAAGTTGTTCAGTCCACCAGATGTAAGAATGTCAGATTGATCAAACAATCAAAGACAGTAACAACTAATAAAAAAAAATTGGAAATGATGCAGAGCTTCACCATACAAGATGGTAGGAGTTCAACAATGGTTCTTATTAGCTAGAATAGGTGTATTGCTGATGTCTGTGGGACATTGAAAGGAATAGTCAACACTCAAAATTTTCTCTTTTCTTGACCAATTTTGCACACTTGAATTTGGTAATTAGAATGACTGATCTGAAAACAATATGCAGTACAAAAGTGAATTTTTAAAAGGAGAGGGGCTAAGGCTATTCAGTGATAAATACCTATATCTACAAGGCACTGGGTTTAAACCCAAACACTAACTAAATAAATAAAAAGGAATCATTAAAAACTTTGAACATTGATTTCCATTAGGAAGACAGACTTGAACTGAGCAGATGGAGACTTTCTTCATCTTTACAGATAGATAATATCATATGTGCACTTCTCTATCACCTGATTTTAAGCACTAGATACATATTGCTTTTTTACTGTTCTTGTTTAAGCCAGAGTAACCTGAGTGTGTCTATATGTTTATGTCCTTGTAATTCTCTGAATTTAACAGAAAAAAAAGCTAAAATAATCACACTTGCAAAAATGTGTCACAGAAAAGAGACACATTTTTAAAAATCATAATCAAATTATAATCTTCAACAGAAGGCTTATAGATCAACCTAGTGTTCACTCTTAATGGAGAAAGACGCTTCAATGTCAGCTAGAAACGACAAGACTTAGATTGTCCTTCCCTTTTTAGACAAGATAAAAGTTAGGTAAGAGCATTTTTAGCCTTGGAGAAACAATGTAACAACCAAGTAACCTGGTTAGACACAAAACTCATGTCAACAGATGCTATCTTCTTCATCTTCAAAAAGTGTACACCATGAAGACAGTGATGTTTATGATGGTGACATTTCCCAGCCAGCTCAGGAAACTACTGACCTTTATTTCAACACCATGTTCCAATGACTCACAGTTGCTTGCTCATTTTGGAATAAACTAATGAAAGCCCACTTGAAATATTTTTTAGTTGTATGACACCCAAAGTTTCAGTGAGTCCATCTTAGGTTGTTCAGTTACTATGTACTGTATGTACTAACTAAATGAGGAAGACAAACACCTCCGCAGTCTTAGTATACACCCAGAATGAGCAGAACATTTAAACACATAATTTAACGAAGGAATATATATATGACTGACCATTGAATATATGAAACAATTTTAGATATCATCAGTTATCTGAACAATAAAAAGTCAAACCATAACGAGATCCCATTATACATCAACCAGAACAGCAAACATAAACACGACCAACAGTGTCGTTTTGGCAAGGCTGTGGAGCAGTGGGAAGCCTACACGCTGCTAGTGGGTGTAAGAAGTGGTCCACCCCCTGAGAACACAGTCTGGTTCATCTTATGATGTCACACCTTCACTAGTCAAGCACCATCAATGTCACACTTATTTCCACGAGGAAAATGAGAACATGTCTGCACACACACAACAAACATGTACACAAACCTTCACAGCAGTCTTATTCATACAAGTCCCAAGCACACACTAAAAGGTGAACAGAGAAGCAAACTGCGGTATATTGTAACAATGAAGTGCTACACAATTATTTAAAAACAATGACTGAGCATGGTGGTGCACACCTGTAATCCCAGCACTTGGGAGGCTGAGGCAGGAGGATCACTGTGAGTTTGAGGCCACCCTGGGCTATGTTGTGAGTTCAAGGCCAGCCTGCACTTGAACTACGCATAGTCTCCAAGCAAACAAAGAACTCCCCCCTAAACAAAAACAAACTACTAACATATGCAACAACATTGATAAACCTCAGTCAGGCACACAGTGTTGAGTAAAAGAAGCCAGACACAAGAAAACACGCTGTATGATTTCATTTATACACAGTTTTAGAACATGGTAAACTGATTTATAGCAACAGAAAAGAGTTCAACGGTTTCCTGGAGTTGAGGGAAGCAAAGACTAACTGGAAAGGAAGAGTCAGATCTATGGGGTATATGGACAGTATCAAGGGAGAAACTTCACAAGGGGCACACGGGGCTGCTCTACTAGTTTTACAATTTCCTGTGAGTCTATAGCTTAAAAATAAGTTTTACAAAAGGGAGAACAAAAGGGAACTTTTGGGGGAGACACCAATATAGTATTTAAAACGAGTTTATCTGTTTGTCAAGTTATAGAACCGTATACATAAAAGAAGTGCATTTAATTATCTGAATCATACAGCAAAAGAGCTGATATCAAATGTTTAAAGTTTACCTAACAGTCACGTGACTACTATGGTATGTCCCAGATACTGTCATAAATGCTTAGTGCTCTTTTCCGCTAGAGAGTTGGTGACCTTGGTCATCAAACCAAAACGGCTTCGGTCTGAAGCCTGGCTCCAGTGTGTATTAGAGTGAGCCTGAGCACAAGGCTTAATCTCTGACCCTCACTTCTCATTCGTAAAAATAGAACATGACATAATAGTAGCTCCATCACAAGATTGTCACAAGCATGGAATGGAAGTGACACATTTGGACAGAGGTTGGCAAAGAGAAAGCACTTAATGAAAGTTGGGAGCCATAACTGTTAGAATGTCAAGTGGACAAGTGCTGAGGTGAGTAGAGGAGGACATAAAAGCAGTCCAAACATGAACTGTTACTTGCTGTTTGGGGAAAAAAGGGCACAGAGACATAAAATCTATCCTATTGGCTTTAAAACAACCAGAAACAAAGCACAGGTTCAGGGAAATGTGGGTCAAAAGCAAGTCTGCTTGCTGTTAAATAGTGTGGACTTATATAAACTAGGTAACAAATATTTGGTGTGTATTTAATATATTCCAGACACTGTGCTAAGAAAGTTCAGAGAAAAAAGTAAATCACTGCTGTCTGATAGTCATACCTGCTATTTTCTAGCTTCACTGAAAGGACAACAATGTTTTCCCACAAAATTGTTATTGCCTACAATCGATGGTTTTGTATTCCTTTTATTAAAAGGACAGTGACAGTTTTCATTTAAGCTGTGGATAGCAAAGATGTCTGTCATATCCAAACGCAATGCCCGAGTCAAAAGCAAAGTCCCAAAGACCATTCCCAAGTTAGTACCTCCCTTCGTACAAACAGCAGATTCTTACATTGGTAGGGATCACACACAGTGACTATCAAAATAAACCAGTACTGCATGGACGGGAGGGCATTCTTAATACACCCTTGGTGTATGCTTGAGGGTATGCTCAAACCAGTCAAGTCAGCTAGGGTGTATGACTGTCAAACTAAAACTCCTTTCCACCACGAGGGTACAAAAGGACTGGCTTAACTAGGCTGCAGGTTAACATTTTTCTTGTATTCCTTGACATTTCCATGCAAAGAGCCTCCACCTTCTCATTCTGTTAAGGGTTCTGTACTTTCTGGCATCCCATCTCAAATTAACTTCCAACTGTTTGGAGGACATGTCTATAAACCTTCTCCTAATTGTCAAGGGCCGTGAGCCAATCAAGTGATAAACTGCTAGACAGAGTTTGTCAGAGTCTTCACTTTCTTTGAAATTTAAGGTTTGTTTTATAAATGCAAACAAGAACATGGGTCAGGAGCAAGTGGAGCTTTTCCCAACAAAAGTTTCAGAGCTTAGTATAAGACAATTTTATAGTTTAAGTGGAGGAAATGGGGCTTAGATTCTGAATTTGTCATTGTTTTATATTTCTATATATTATAGATAGATGTTTAGAATTTTGTGTCTTAGATTTCATTTCTTTTAGTTTATGGAGATGTGATGTTTGACTGATGTAACTTTATTTATTTATGTATGTATGTATGTATGTAGTGTGGCACCAGGGCTCAAACCCAGGGCCTTGTGCATGCAAGGCAACAGCTCTACTACTGAACCGTATCCCCAGCAAGTATTTATTTTAAATATTGCATAATATTCCATTTTAAAAATATACCAAAATGTATTTATCCTTCATGGAAAATTAAGCTACTTCTAATATAAATAATGCTGCTATGCATGTTACTATAATGGCTTAAAACTTTTTGTAGTTTTAGGCAAGAGACCAGGTTTCCAGAGGGAGCATGTCTGAGTTCTCTTAATTCACCTATTTGTAACAGACTGGGAAAAACCTAAGT